GAACAGGCTGTCCCCGCCTGCCACAATGGCCGCCCCACCCCTGCCGATTCTCCTCCTTTTTCTTAGCATTTGGATAGTGGCCCCACCTGGGCTTACAGCTGAGAATTACAATTCTTTATTTCCTGAAAGCTACAGGCTTGTGGCTCCCTGAAGGGGGGGGGCACCCTCCTCCCCGCCCCCCGGGCAGTTATTTAAAATGCTCTGGCAGGAACGCGTCACTCAGCTGACGCTGGCCATCCCGGAACGCCTATGGCAGCGACACAAAGGGCACCGGGTTCAAGCTCGGAGCACTTTCTCTAATCCCCACCCCCCCCCACTCTGGTTTCCGCACTTTGTGACATGGGGGGGGGGGGGCACACGGCCTTCGCTCCACACTTCCTGTCACCTTTCCGGAGACGCCCGATCTGCCGCTGAGCCGCTGGCTGGTGGGCGGCTTCCCTTCATCCCCCTCCTCTTCCTCCTCCTCCTCCTCCATTCGCCAGTGACTCACGTTGTACTCTCATCTGGCTTCTCGCCTGAAGGTTGAAATGACGGCCGGTTTGAAACCCGATCAACGCAGCCATGGAGCTATTTATAATCCAAACTTGGATTCCGACGGCTGTTTACGACGTGTTACGTAAAGGATCAGAATGTTGTCTGTTCCTAAACCGCTGCTCCTTCTCTGTGTCTCGCATGATATATTTTTTTAAATCTCTTTTGTTTACACCGAGGCTGTTTGTGACATTTCCTTGCTCTCTGAATATCTGTATTTGCCCTATTTTTCGAGGGTGACTCGTTTGACTGTGAGCTGTCCTCGTCTGTCCTCATTCACCAGCAGTGCCTGGCTCCCGCCTTTTCATACTTTCAGGCCTGTAATTGGCCGGCCAGCTGTCCAGCGCTCTTTGATTGGTTACCGTCGCATGTCTGTCACAGGGCTGCCATTGAGGAGACCTACTCCAAGTCAATGAGCAAGCTGGCCAAGATGGCAAGCAACGGGAGCCCCCTGGGGTAAGTGCGGGAGCCCCCTGGGGTAAGTGCGGGAGCCCCCTGGG